GATTTTATAATGGACTTTAAACTTATCATTGCCTAGATGGAGCATTCCTTTTTACTTTAAAAAAGTTTTTTTGAATCTAGTAGAAATATTTCTGGAAACAAATTTGACTTTTTCCCCCGTCGTTGAAAAGATGAGCTCCAGAGAAAAGTTTTATTTTTGAATCTTGTAGAAATATTTCGGGAAAAAATTTGACTTTTTCCCTCATCGTTGAAAAGATGAGCTCCAGAGAATAAAGGCTTCTGTTTGAATCTTGTAGAAATATTTCAGGAAAAATTTGACTTTTTCCCCCGTCGTTGAAAAGATGAGCTAAAGAAAAAAAGTTTTCTGTTTGAATCTCGTGGAAATATTTCAGGAAAAAATTTGACTTTTTCCCCCGTCGTTGAAAAGATGAGCTCCAGAAAAAAAGTTTTCTTTTTGAATCTTGTAGAAATATTTCTGGAAAAAATTTGACTTTTTCCCCCGTCGTTGAAAAGATGAGCTTCAGAAAAAAAGTTTTCTTTTTGAATCTTGTAAAATTATTTCAGGAAAAAATTTGACTTTTTCCCCCGTCGTGGAAAAGGTGAGCTCCAGAAAAAAAGTTTTCTTTTTGAATCTTGTAGAAATATTTCAGGAAAAAATTTGACTTTTTCCCCCGTCGTTGAAAAGATGAGCTCCAGAAAAAAAGTTTTCTTTTTGAATCTCGTGGATATATTTCAGGAAAAAATTTGACTTTTTCCCCCGTCGTTGAAAAGATGAGCTTCAGAAAAAAAAGTTTTCTTTTTGAATCTTGTAGAATTATTTCAGGAAAAAATTTGACTTTTTCCCCGTCGTTGAAAAGATGAGCTCCAGAAAAAAGTCATCTTTTTGAATCTTGTAGAAATATTTCGGGAAAAAATTTGACTTTTTCCCTCGTCGTTGAAAAGATGAGCTTCAGAAAAAAAGTTTTCTTTTTGAATCTTGTAGAATTATTTCAGGAAAAAATTTGACTTTTTCCCCGTCGTTGAAAAGATGAGCTCCAGAAAAAAGTCATCTTTTTGAATCTTGTAGAAATATTTCAGGAAAAATTTGACTTTTTCCCCCGTCGTTGAAAAGATGAACTGAATTTTGTAGAAATATTTCTGGAAAAAATTTCATTTGTCCCCCGTTGTTCAAAAGATGAACTCCAGAGAAAGGTTTTCTTTTTTTTATCTTGCAATAATATTTCTAGAAAAAATTTAATTTGTCCCCGTTGTTCAAAAGATGAACTCCAGAGAAAGGTTTTCTTTTTTTATCTTGCAATAATATTTCTGGAAAAAAAAATTTCCCCCTTCGTTGAAAAGATGAACATTTAAAAATGTTAATTAGAAAAAAACTGCAACTTTAAATCATAATTTCTATTCCTGTAAAATATATTGCTGAATTCTTTTGTAAGGTACACTAAACATTGAACTGTCAAGTTTTTGTAAAAAAAAAATAGTGATTAAATTACGAACATTTAATACTTTTTGATAGGTAAAATGATATTTTTTCGGTCTATACACGTTCAGCTCTTAAGTTTTACATTTATTAAGAAGATTTAGAATGCACACGCTTCCATAATTTTATTTTCCTCTTAACTGCTAACTTTTAAAAAGAGAACGAAAAGCACAAAAAATCTGATATGCCGTAATTTTTACTATAATAATTACTGTAATAATAATTACTATAATAATTCACTGAATCACTCTTATTAAATAATTATTACTGTAAAAATAACGGTACAATATTTTATGATAAAAATAGATTTTACAGATAATGCACCCACACTTTATACCGTAATTTGATCCGAAATTTTTCATTGCAGTTGTGTTTCAAGAGTTAAATTGTGAAAAGTTAAGTGATTTTAATTATTTTATTTATTTATTTCAAATATTTATTTTTGGAGAAATAGTTTTAGCAAGAATTAGTAGTAGTTTATTCCCTAAAAAGACTTCAAATTTAACTACCATTCATTGTCAACTCGCATAAAATACGCGTACAAAAGAAGTCTTTGTACCTGAAACAAAAACTACAGCTGCAGTTTTCCTTTAAGAGAATTTAAAACAATATCTAAAAGAACGAAAACATAAAAATGAACCATATCTTATGCTTCAGTCTGAGGCCTTATAACTTTATAAGTTTTCATCAAAACTGAGGAAGTACACTGTAAGAAATTCCAGCTCAAATTACGGCAAAAAGTACTGGCCAATCACTGATAAAATCACTGAATCTCCCTAATTAAAAAAATATCACTGTATATATTACGGTATAATATTTTACGTTAAAGTTGTTGAATCGTAAAATCATTGTATCCCTCTAAGTAAATATATATTGCTGTAAAAATTACGGTTTAATATTTAACGGTAAAAATGGTAAAATGGATTACGGTAAAATGGATTTTATGGATATTACATCCAATGTGCAAGTACTTTATACCTGAATTATATCCGGAATTTTTTGCAGAGTAATTGAGCTCTGAGAATGGAACATAGTTTCAATTTATTTATTTCATTGATTTCAAATATTTATTTCTGGAGATATAGTTTCAGTAAATTATTATCAAAATAGTATTTCCCTATCAAAAATCAGCCATTTATTTTCAACCTATATAAAATAGGCGTACAAAACAAGTCTTTGTAACAGAAACAAAAACAACCGCTGCAGTTTTTCTTTAAGAGAATTTAAAACAATATTTAAAAGAAAGAAAAAATAGGTATGAGCCATGCCTAATGCTTCAGTTAGAGACCTTATAACCTTTAATTTGACATCAAGTTTGATTCAGTACGGTGAAAAAATTCAGTACTTTTTAAAAAATCAAATTACGATAAAAAGTACTCGCATTCAGAGCGCCGGTACTTTCTTTATCGTAAAATCTATTTTTACCTTTCCAATCCTTTTTATCGTAAAATCCATTAGAAAAAATCTCATATACTGTAATTTTTACAGTAATAACTACCGTAAAAACAATGAATCACTTTAACTAAATATATATTACTGCAAAAATTATGGCACAATATTTTACGGTAAAAAGTAGATTTTACGATAAAATGGATATGATGCGCCCAAAGTGCCAGTATTTTATACCGTAATTTCATCCGGGTATTTTTACAGAGTAGGTTTTGTCAATTTAATATGATTTAACAACCTAATTATTTTTTAGACATATGCATATGTATTTAAAATATATAAATTTAAATAAATTTAAAGTTATTCTTTAATGCAATTTAAAAATGTTTTGATTTTATATTTATCGTATTAAAAATACATAAGGTTTTTACCTAAACATTATTTAATAGAATAAGCAATTTGAATAACTTATAGTATTTTTCCTTATAACTTCCTCCAACAATGCAACAAAAAGATCTTAAAAAATTATATCAATAGGGAAAGTATCCATGAATGATAAGTCTGGTTACTCCAAAACTAATAAAACACGAACTCGTAAACTGAAAATTGCAGAAAGAATTAGAGCTTGGCTTAGTTATGATGGTTTATAATCAAAAAGGAAATAAAATAAAAATACTATATCGCAGTTATAAATGATCACGCGACTAGAAATAATGATCTATGTTTTTATTTCATGATTTGCTTAATTTGCATTTTATAAAAAGAAAGTGAATTCGTGTCAAAGTAAAAATTTGACCCGATTCAATAATTCTTTTTTATCAAGCAAGTAGCAAAATTTTACTGAATAAAATAACTAGAAATAAAAAATATATTACCGTTCAAACGAAGATTTTAGGTCAGGGATAGTTTAATGAAAATAAGTTTTGAAAAAAAAATTCTTATCAATAAGTCTTTGTAAGGGTTATTACAGATTCCGCTATTATAAGCAAATTACATTTATTCAATTTTAGATAAGTGTATTCGAATGCGTTGTTATGCAAAAGCTGTTTGGGAAAAAGAGAGACATTTTTTATCTTAGTTAATAGACCTGTTGTCTTTTCATATTTTCGAGTTGTAGCTTTAAAATAGGAATTGTTTTGTCTTCCTCAATTAAGTGTCTTTTGTATGTTATTTCTTCTAAATAAAGGGGTATTTGGAATGACAAAAGAAGTTTTGTCGGATTTTGTTTTTGAAGGAAATGCGTTTTGGTTAAAAGTTCTTTATGGACAAATATCAAATATATACAACGGTAGCCGCCAATTTGGCCACTCAATTAAACTCGTCGCTTTGCGGCTCTGCAATTCAAAGTATGGTACTTTGGTAGCAAATTGTTTAAATAATTAATAAAATAATTTTAAACTATTAATTAAGAAATTAAATTTTAACTATTATTTTAAAAAAAGACATTAAGAACTATTGGTACTATACGGGATTCTTAACTTTAAGTAAAACTCTTGAGAGAAACCCCAAGAATTGTTAGAATCTTAAGCAGAAGATAAAGCTATTGATAAAAATCTAGTTNTATATATATATATATATAAGTTTAAATGTTTATTCCGACAGGACCGGAAAATTACAATTCATGTGAAATATATTTTTTACTTATACTTTACATTCTAAACTACGCATTTCGAATTTAAAATTTGTATTATATTTTTGCATCTAAAAATTTAATATCCGCATTTTTGACTAAATAAAAAAAGAAAAAGAAGCGAAGGAAAGAAATTTATAGGCCCATCTAAGGAAAACTTTAAATCTTTTTCAGTTGGACTAAAAAAAATTTGACAAATATGAATCACAATAACAACTTTGAAATTCAAAAAATAATTATTGATGCACCGTACCCCGTATACAGGAAGTTCATGCAGTAAATGCAGTGCACAACAATTGCGACTATCTTTTTTTACTACTACGTTACAATAGCACATCACAAATAAATACGCAAAAAACCTGCATTTTTTCTTCTACAAAGAAAAAAAATGTTTTTCTCAACAACATTAAAATTTTTTATTTACCAAAAGCAACAGGAAAAAATAAAGGAGTGCACTCTAAAATTACACATAACATCTGCCCTTTTACCAGTTCTTACAAGACGGTTATGTGAATAAAAACATGCGATAGTAAATAACAAAATATACCTCCAGTAAGCCTTTCCCAAGGAAAACCCTACCACTTGCTATAAATATATATTCATTCACTCACTTAAACCTTTACCGAAATTTTTATACAGCAAACGGTGGAGGGGACACTGACCTGGGGACTAACGGTGCCCCGCCCTTGACCCTGAGAAGACGACGACCCCTTTAAGAGAGAGGGGGTTACAAGGAAAACCCATTCTGGCCCCCTAGATCCCCGACAGACAGAAGGGTTTTGCGAGGCCGTGGGAATGGGAGAGGTTGTTAAAAAAAAATTGTGGAAAAAAATCCGGTAGAAAAAAGCCACCTTGCGCTCGGGAAGAGGAAGAGATGGTGGGTAGTTTTTCAGTCAAAATATGTGATAAGGAACAAAAAAATAAGGTACAATAGCTGGTGACGAATGTGTTATTGTAGAAGGGGGAATAGGTTGAAATTTGAGTTTTCTGATTCAACGCCCTAGAGTGTACGGATCCTATAGCTGAGGTGTTTCCTGGAGGGCGATGAACCCTTAAAGAAAAAAGGGTGCTTTGGAGTTAGAAGAGAAGTTTTGAGAAGTTATAAACGGTTTTTCTGAAAACAAGATGGGACGGGAAAGATTTAAAATAACTTGTATTTTCTCTTCACTTTGTATTAAAGTGTAAATTCATTTCTGGATAATTTTAATTAAAAAAAAAGGCTCTTTAAATTTTATATAATATGTAACTTACAAGGGCATAAAAAGTGCAATTTAAAATTAAGGCCTAGGCTCTCAGTTTCAGGTGTTTGATGCTTTTCGTTAGCAATCAACTTTTAATTAGAGTGCATATTTCTGTAGCAAATTACTTTTTAAGAAAAGAAACAAAGAATAAAATCTGCATTTTATGAAATTCTTGAAAACAGCTATTGGTCAACAGCACAGCTGTTTTTGTGTTCGAAAATTTTACGGATTTCATTCATGCATGCGATTTTTTTCACGCAAACAAATTGTGTGGTTAGTAGCTTTAAAAAAAATAACACTCGACACGCCTTTTTTTTTNTTTTTTTTTTTTTTACCAATTTTGTTTAAACTTACAAAAAAAATGATTTGGAAGATAAAAAAAATTTCCTTCAACATAAATAATACCCAAAAAAGACATTTTTAAGTACTTAAAAACAAAAAATGCGTAATGCTAAATTAGTTTTCAGTAAAAGCTGATTGCAGAATTGTATTGATATAATGTTGTCAAAAATAAACCATTAAAATTTTTAAGTAACCATCAGTATATTTCTCCCATTCTTATTGAACGACAATCTTGCATTTTAAGTATTTCGAAAGGTATAATCGAAAGGTATTTCGAAAGGTTAAGTATACTATCAAAAAACTCGGTTTGAGCGATGAACTAAAAATTACTAACTTCAAACAGAATATCTTGAAAGCTTGTTACAGCATTAATAAGGGGATATATTGAACCATATTTTTGTGTAAGTCATGGTATCTTATCCTGTAACCAAGTTCAAAAAGAACTTATTTTATTCAAAATACAATACGGTTCAACTGGGCACTGTATTGAGACGTAAGCAAATTTGGACGAAATAATCGTTTCAGACTTTCTAATGGTGTATTCAAAGTGTTTCGGCAAAAATTATTGAGCTTTTCGATTTTCTCACAGAGCGAGAGATGCAAGGTACATTTTACCATATTCTACTTGTTATTACCATATTTTCTTCTCCGTGTGAAGGAAAGGATCAGTTATCAATTTTTTGTAAAAATAAAAAATTAATTCATCAATTATTTTATTAATTTATTTATTAATTAATGAGTATAATTAACGTTTTAACATCAAAAACTCAAGTAAATTTAACATCAGAAACTCAACATCTTTTAACATCAAAAACTCAAGCAAATTTTATCAACATATCTCTTACAGAAAATACAACACAGCTTTCCCCCGACACTTAGGAAAAAACAACTAAAAGTAAAAAAATATGAAATTTAATATACTTTTGATCTAAGGACATTATTCAATCTTTGTTTCGTGATAATGATACATTCGTTTTCGAGTAAAATATATTATATGTATTATTGTATGAATCAATAGTTTCTTAGCATAAATTATTTATTTAAAACGAACTTAGAAAAGTAATTAAAAGAAATATTTAGAGGATGGGATTTGAGCAATTGTCTTTTAAAATTATAGATTTTGAATGTTGTTTACTTATTATAGATTCGAATATTTGTTCTTGAATAAAATGTCAAACTGTAACATTATTTTAGAAAATTTTATGTAACATATTTATCGTATTGTTGAAATTATTTCATTTTATTAAAGATTTTATTTACTATATTATTATGTTATATTTGTTTTTTTCCAACTAAATGCTAAAACATAGGGGAAATTTGCTGGCTTTTTAAAGAAATATTCAAATCATGCATAGCTCACTACTGTTTGTTGCCTACAAGTTACTAAGATGCATGGGTCTACGAATCCTGGGCATCCAAACGTCTGAAACTATTAACCGATTCCCAATATTTTAGTATAATTTGAATATTTTGATACTTGCCATTCTATAACCAACTGGTTTCTAAAAATTAGTCAGGGCTCCCTTAATCTGCAAGAAAAAAAAACGCAATTGTTCCAATAAAGAATTTCATATTTGTTCTAATTTTCCGGCTTTAAATTTTTGTTTTTGAATGAAATAGAACACACAAAAATATTTTTGGGGGAGAAAATTATTCTGCACACAGAAAACATATTTATAGGGGAAATTTACATACCGGAGAATGATATGTTAAAGATCTAGCATGTAGAGCTTGTATGCTAGTAAAAAAAGTATAGTCGAAACTACCAGAATATATTAAAATTTACCTTGCTTCTGGTTCCATCGGAGTGCCGACGGGCTTTACAGAAGGACTTTGTTATGATTTTGGTAAAATTGTTCTATAAAATGTGGTAATTTCATCATGGTACTTGAAAGCATGGAATAAAAACCATTTATTCAGCTAAGGTTTTTTTTTTTCAGTTTTGCAGTTTTTACTAAATATAAAATAATAAGAAACATAATTTTGAAAACAAAAATTTTCGGTATGCAGGAACCACAAAGAGCGGAAAAATTATCTGATGAATGCTTTAAATACCGTATATTTTAGTTTTATTAACCAGAATTTTTTTTTTACCAGAAATTTTAATATTATACAATACGTTAATTTTACTAGAATTTTTTTTCATCGGACAATCTTTAATGCCTTAGGACAAAGCATGGATGTTCTTTTATTCTCTGTATTATCTGTCCTTTCTAGGGGCGCAACGTTGGCCCACCTAATACAGAACCCCTGAAAGACTGACCAACACATCTGCCCTACTTAGACCTGAATAACGAGTGCGAAATGGGATTCTTTCGTTAAGAATTTTAAGTTTTGTTTTTGAGTGGAACATATCATTCTTATCTAAAAATGAATAAATCCAAAAATTTAAATATATACATATAAATAATGCTAGTTTTTTATTATTATTTTTTTGTGAACATTTTAGTGGAATTTTATTTAAGACCTTAACATTATTAAGGAACACACTTTAAAAATTAACATTAATCAAATAATGTTATTCTATTTCAACATTTCTTATCTTTTACATCCACATTCCCACAAGATTTCTAGAATATTATAAAAAACTGTATATTTTATTGCTGTTCATGAAAACTGATAATTTAATGTTATCTCAAAAATCGTATTCGTCCTATTAAATTTAAACTGTTCTTTACATTTTCTTTCGATGCGTACCAGGAATTATAATTTCGTTCCCTTTTAATAAACACAATGTCGTCAAGCGTTCCAGGCAGTATAACCTTTCAAGGACTGATAGTCGTTTAACCTTTCCATACCCTCATATCTCTTAAAAATATCAACTAACAAAGGAATGCTTCTTTTCAAATCCAACTTTTTTTCCCCATTTTCCTTAAGCTAATAAATTTATTTTAATTCACAAGCTAAATATAGATACATTATTTACTTTGATAAGCGTTAACGTTATATGAATAAAAATATTGACGTATATTTACGTCAGTCTGCTTTCCATTCAAAATCGTTTTCTTAACGTGCACAACGATTTTATCTTTCCAAAATGTCGTGATCAAATACGATTTATTCTTTAGTTATCTTTTGATTTTCTATGGAAAAGTTAAGCAAAAGTTAATATAAAATCATTAGCTTATACTTTTACCTTACTTTATACTTTTTTCTTTAAGACATTCTTTTTTCGGCAGCAATCGATTATTTTTCTACTCATATTGTACTAAGCTTCTCTTGTAAGATTTTTTTTTTTTCAATTTCTTTTCTTTCTGTCGTAAAAATATTTTTTAGAAATATTCCTCAAATTCTTTATTTTACTATTTTTTTTATTTACGTGTATTTATTTTAGAAACTTCCTAAGAAAATTCGAAGAGTATAAAACACAACGAAATTAAAGTCTGGTGTCTTGACGTCCTTTATTTAAATCGTTTAAATCGTATATTAACTCGTTTGCTTCTAATATTGCTCATAGTATATACTACAAAATTATATATTACTCATTTTTGCACAAGTTGTTTGAAAAGCAATCCAACTGATATTGATTCGGAGAAATAAGCGGAAAAAAAGAAAAATCTACAAATGAAAACATAGAAGTAAATTATTTTTGAAAGATGCGTTCTATGATATTTAACTCAACTTTCACCTCAGGAAGTACCTTTAAAATCTTACATAAAAATTCCCTTTTTTATTGCAGATCTGGATACTCCAGAAAAAAATACCCTAATATTGACAAACAGATTTCGTTGAAATTTGGTTTATGGAATGTGCCTTAATCATAAAACTAAAATAGGTCACGAGTAGTTTAAAATGTAAATATCGGGAGAAATACAAATGAGAAGAAAAAAAACTCAAAAAAATGAAAGACAATATACGCTTTTGATATTTTTAAAAAGCCTATTTTAGATCACCAAACTCGGCCATGCCCCACTCACTAAAACTGAGGAAACTTCCAGAGGTTGGGGTCAAATTTGGAGATAAGGGTTAAGTCAGTGAAACGAAATACAATACCTGTAGATCAAAATGGGGCACCTTTCAATATAGAATCATTTCGTGCAAAACCTATTGTTGACCGATGACGGGTTAACT